TCAGGCTTGGTTTTCAGAGTTAAGGTTGCTTCCTCGCCGTAATCCAGCGGGGCGGAGCCACTGGCCCCTTTGGTTTAGCCTTCATCCTGCACAACCTCTCTGCTCCGCTTTCTCCACACCAGCCATTCCCAGTACAGCACTGGAGAACGTGGTACCCTTTCGAGTGGGGAGAGTTGGAGGAAACTGAGATGGCTTGAGTCCCCTTTGCTTCTTCATTCAGCCTCGGATTTGACAGCTGTCTAGAAAGCCTGAAGCCTCTAGGAGGAGGGAAAGAAAGGTAGGTGAGGGGCAGTACAGGACTTTGTGAACTTTCGCACGAAGCATCTTACCCGCCTCCTTCCCCTTCAGGTATTATTAACTCACCTCTTTGAGTCTCGGGAGATGAAGCTCCAACAAGATTATCTTTGGACTCAGGGCTTGAAATGGGCCCTCTTACAACTTCGCTTCTACTCCTTGCTAGTGGCCCTGTGGCTGCGAAAGGCCCCACACCTAGGAGACCTGGCAGAATAATTAGGACTGAGATCTCGACCAAGTGGTCCTGAGGAGAAGGTGGGCAGGCCCATCCCCAAGACCAAATGCATTGGAAAGGCAAACACAGGAGAGTTGGACAAACTAGGTAAGTGGTACCGAATATAGCCTGTGCTGCTGAGTGAATTTTCTAATTCTCTTACATTCTTCTACACAGTTTTTTTCATCGTTGCTTATACAAACTCCTTTTTTACCACATCACCACCTTTGCAGCTCTAGCTGCCTTCTCATCAGATTTACTAACATTAAGTAAGCCCTGAACCTGTTTTGCTATTGTGGAGTCTACTTCCTGATTGGGGAGGGTGGAGGATCCCCCAACGAGATTTTCTGATGACTAAAACCTCACAATTAGAGCTTTATTCCTTTAGCTTAAATTGATACAAGTATCCTTGAAGAGATAATAAATTTAGCTTTATGAACCATGTATGAATGAGTTTATCAGCTCCTTTCCAGAAAGTAAATTTTGAGAAAAGGAAAGATAGAGGAATATCAAGGTCATTGTTTGCTGAGGAAGATATGAAGAACTGTCAGAAGAAGGGAAACTATCAAGAAAGAGGGGTCAAAGATATTCATCCTACAGTAAAAATGTTGGAAATACCTTAACATGAAAGAAATAGTAAATATGGAACTGCCATGCAGTGGTCCATTATGCAGCCCATATGAAGGAAGTTAATGAAATTTCTAATAGAATAGGATAGCACATGTTTTATTATGGGAGGGGGAAGGAAGATTAAAATTATGATTACAATTTGATTACATTTATGTAAAACAAACAAAACAAAACCATGTACTTAGAAAAAAGTCTAGAAGGAAATATACCACAGTTTTAACAGTGGTCATCTTTGGGTGATACTATCATGTTTGAACATTTTTGCTTTCTACTTTTCTGTATTTTCCAAGGTGTTTACCATAAGCATATCTATGCCCAGTACAGTCGTCGGTAGGGCCGCATTTTTTTTTTTTTTTTAAAAAGGCCCTGAAGAGAGAAAAGAGTGGAAGAACCTAAGATGAACTTTGTACATCACAAGTTTTTGAGATGTAGTAAGACAATTACACCTGGGGTTTGGGGGTAGGATATCTAGGTTTAAATACCAGCACCACCACTTAACAGCTGGGTGACATGGTACAAGTTGTTTGACTTTTTTGTGTCTCAGTTTCTATACCTGTAAAGTGGGGGCAGTAATAGTATTTATCTCATGGGGGTGTTGTAAGAATTGTTAAGAATCTCAAAAGTTTAAAGCAGGTGGGCAAGGTAAATTATAAACTGCATTCATGCAGTTGCTACATATGCAGTTCAACTTTGGCTGGTAATAAAAATAATAAGCAAACACTTCTAATGCACTTATCATGTTCTAGGCACATTTTTAACCACTTTACACATATTAACTCATTTGGTCCCCACAAAAACTTAATAAGGTAGGGGCTATTATTACCTCATGGGACTGTTAGAAGAATCAAATGAGATATTGTGTATTATCATTATCTTCATTTTATAGCTGAGGAATCTGAGTTCCTTCTGTTAGTAAGAGGAGGAGCAAGATTAAAGTAGGTAGTCTGGCGCAGGCTAAATGCACAAATTTGTGCCTTAAACTACCACCTCTTATATGAGGAACAACTACAGAATTTCTATGGGAAAATTACTTTTGAGTTACGTGAATTTTACTTTATATAAGATCTTCAGGAATCCATTGGTCCATATACAGGAGATACTATGATGTTCTAATGTGCTGTGCTACAGTGGAAACTGCATACATTTTGTGGGGCTGTGATTGAACTCTTGAAGTCTCTCTCCATTGTTGCTACGGGGACCTAACTATGTGATTTCTCTGCCTAAGACAAGAAATGGTATAGGAAAACATAACTTTGGAGAGGGGGAAGATTGGAGACCCTCTAGTGCTTAAATTCCATTCTTTTTTACTTTCTTGGCCTGGGAGAATCAAGGACACAACTGATATTAACAACTCCCTTTTTCTGGGTCCCTCA